GAAGTGTTTTTAGCTGATTTGAGGCTTACTTAATTTTATTTACTGAGAGTTAAAGGACTGTCAAAGGTGTAGTCACATTTTCCCATTTGCTTAATGGCCGTGAAAATTCTTAAGGCATTTATTTTAAAAGTCTGACAAATATGAATAAAAAATATTTTTAGATGTACTTATTCTTATGTGTTTTGCATGTATGTATGTATGTGTACCACATGCATGCCTGGTACTCTCAAAAGCTGAAAGCCAGGGTTCAGGCCCCTGGATCTAGAGTTATAAGTGGTTGTGAGGTGCCATATAGGTGCTGGGAATTGAATCCAGGCCCTCTACAATAGCATTGAACATTCTTAACCATCTCCAAATGTACATTTTAAAATACCTTATAGACCACGAATAATATTATACATATACAAGTGCCTGTTTTTCTGTGTATTTGCATTTGTGTTTGCCTGTATCTTGGAGTGTGCACATATGTACGTTTGTCTCTCTCTGTGTATATAATCTTTTTTTGTGGGAGAGGGGGTTGAGATAGGGTTTCTCTGTGTAGCCCTTGCTACCCTGGAACTCATTTTGTAGACCAGGCTGGCCTCAAACTCAGAAGTCCGCCTGCCTCTGCCTCCCAAGTGCTGGGATTAAAAGCATGCGCCGCCACTGCCCGGCTTTTGTGTAGAATCTGATCCATAGTTTCTGCATCTCTTTTCATTACACACGTAACACTATCATATAAACCTTTTTTAAGGCATTGTAAAACCATGACATTAAATGAGAAAATTCCCTAGGAGGTAAGTAATATTTTACAAATTATGTTTACAGAAATGCGCCTTTGGGGGGGAATCTACTGATAATCTTAATTTTTTTGTAACATTCATTTGCAAATAATTTCAAGAGCAGGGAATTTACTTTGTAGTCACTATTTGAATACATTTTCAGATGTAGGTCATTGTTATACACTGTATCACCTAATTTAATTTATAATGTGGACACAAATGCTGTTTTCACACACTAAAAGATACCCTAGAAGTAGAATGAAAATGATATCATTATATCATTTAAATAATCAAAGTTTTAGAGTATTTAGAATTTTCTTTTATGTTAATAAAATGATAATTGATTGAAAACTTAAGTATGCTCTTTATGCAAAAGTAAATTTTATACATACATGCACACACACACACACGGACACACATCACAGCAAATTAAACCACTTAGTTTGTGTACTGTATTGGGTACATATCAAAATTATAGTGCTGTGAAAACTGCCAACATTCTCTTTTATGATTATTGTGTGGACGAAGCTAGAAATTCTAAATGTATTTTGTTATAAAAGTTCTAAATCAAGCCGGGCGGTGGTGGCGCACGCCTTTAATCCCAGCACTTGGGAGGCAGAGGCAGGAGGATTTCTGAGTTTGAGGCCAGCCTGGTCTACAGAGTGAGTTCCAGGACAGCCAGGGCTACACAGAGAAACCCTGTCTCGAAAAACAAAAACAAAACAAAACAAAACCAAAAAAAAAAAAAAAGTTCTAAATCAGAGTTCTAAACTACACCTGTGTTTTATATTTTACCCAGTATATGTGGCTACTTTTACTCTGTATTTCTTATTAAAAGGTCATGTCTTTCCATTTTTTTTTTCAAGCAAGATGAGTTTCTGGCTACCCCTTACAGTTAGTGCATATATATACATATACATATACATATACATATACATATACATATACATATACATAATTTTAGAGTAATCATGATCCTAGCATTGGCCAGCTTCTACTCCTCATAAAATCTATGGTTATATACATTATTGACAACTATCTTAAAAACCACCCCAGAACTTACAAAACAAGTGTGTGTTATGTCAGGATGTGGTGGGTTGTTTCATCTGGGTAGGTCTATTGGCATGGTTTGGAGTCACTGGTGATTCATTGAGCTGTGTTAGCTCTCTGTCGATGGATACATTTCCTGAGGTTATCAACACAAAGTAGGTGTGATCTATTTCAGCTCAGCTTGCTATAGGTTTGTGGCCATGTTGGTTAGATTGATGCTTTTTTGTGCCTGTGGCAAGGCAGAACCTCATAGCAGGAGCTGGCCAGTAGGGCTATTTTAATATATCAAAATGTTTACATTGAATTATAAACTCAAATACCATGCAGGAGGTCACAGTGACAGAGAAGCAAATGAGAGAGAGGAAGTGGTTGGGTTCCTAATGACCCTCAGTAATCTAACTTCCTCAAGGAGTTCTTACTTCTTACAGGGCCCTACGTTCTCCAGCAGCATCACAGGCTGGCAACCAAGACTTTAACACATGTTTTTAGGGACACTAACCCAAACCATAAGAGGTTAGAATGCACAGTGCAGCACACCGACACTAGTGCCTTGTTGTGGGTTACTGGGATGATTTGGAGATACTTATTCTCCGACCTCCCACATGGTACTCTCTCATCATTCAATGTCCTGGTCTGAGTTACTTTACATGGTGACTGGGATCACTGGTGTCCATGTTTATATATGATCTACTCTTCTAAGTGGGTACATTATGATTACAGATTGGAGCTTTATCTCAAACCCCACATGCATTAAATAGAGGATTCTTCTTCTTCTCCTTCTCCTTCTTCTTCCTCCCCTCCTCCTCCTTCTCCGTCTCCTTCATTTTTTGAGACAGAGTCTCTCTATTTAGTCCTGGCTGTCCTAGAGCTCACCATGTAAACCAGGCTGGCCTTGAACTCACAGAACTCCACCTCTCTCTGCCTCTCAAGTGTTGGGATTAAAGGTATGTGCCACCAGGCATGAACAATGAATATTCTTTTTAAGCAAGCAAAAGAGAGGGACTAGGAAGTTACTCATGTGGGGTGCAGCTTGGCTCTGTGAGGTCCTAGCACTTTGACTTTGGGCATAGTCTCCTTCTCCTCCTTCCCTTCCTCCTCTGTATTTATAAGATTAGATGAATAAGCAGATGTAACGATCTCAGACATGTGCTGGCACACAGCAAGTATACAAGCAACAGTAGCTTTAGAACATAAGTGATCATTGCCTGTTATTATCACACACAGTGATATCAGGTTGGTTAGTCCCTCCCACAGCTGTAACATTTCCTGCAGTCTCCTTGACTGTGATCACAGATCCTGAGCACTTCACCTGCCTGCCTACCTACCCTAGACAAATAAAACCCAACTCTTCCACAAAACAGGCTAAGTCACAATCATTCTAAAGAAGTGATTATTTGACTTAGAAAAAAAAATCACAACCCGTACTGAGTAAGAAATATATATATATATATATATTCTACATTTTAACACAAAGCATATACACAGACACAGGTTCTCACACACTCACACACCGGGCAGCACATGTTTTAGGAATGGTTTGGCACTAGTCTCCTCAATGAGTCAAAGCAAAGCAATATTGGTTGTAAGTCATTCATCCATTTTATTGTTGACCAAAGAAAGGATTCTGAGCTTTATCTTACTGTGTGTTGGAAACGGGAAATCAAACAAACGTTAGAAACAAGCATTGCTTCAGGAGTGGTTTTATCAGAATGTGACAAATATAGTTTCCTTCCTAGTCTGTTAAATTACAGAGGAAAAGCTCATTCCCAAACAGGAACCTATTTTTCCCACTCAAGTGATTTCATAAATTCTTCTAGTGGTATACAGGAACTAGAAGGGAGGCATGTGTACATTAAGTGTTATGGTTTTACTTACTGTAAAAACCAAATGCCCCTCTCCCCTATGGGTTTATTTATATATTTGAATGCTTAGTTACCAGTTAGTGAAACTGTTTAAGAAGGATTTGGAGGTGTGGCCTTGTTGGAGGAGGGGTATCTCTAGGGGTGGGCTTTGAGGTTTCAAAAGTCCACACCAGGCCCAGCAATGTCTACTCTTTGTCTGTTGCCTGTGGATCATGACTTAAAGCTCTAAGCTTTAGGTATCCAGTCTCATGCCTGTCTGCTTTCCACCTTGATGATAATGGACTAATCCTCTGAAACTGTAAGAAAGCCCTCAATTAAATGGTTTTTGTTTGTTTGTTTTTTTCATAAGAGTTGCCTTGGTCATAGTATTTCTTCACAGCAACTAAGTAACTAAGGCAAAGGCCTATACAAGTGTTTGGAATTTAGCTCAGCTGTTTCCTGTTTCTTTTTCTTTCCTGGGCCCTAAGTGCCAGAATTCATAGTTCTTTTTTTAGGTTGTGTGTTTTATGTTTTGGGGGGAAAGTTGAAATTTGATAACATAATTGCTTTACTCAAACCCTATTACTTCATTACAATTTAATTTTTGCTGCCATAAATTATCCCGATTTCCAAAGAAATAAGTTAACAGCTAATTATTCACATACATAATTGAAACTAGAAATATTGTATTCTTAGATTGTGCATAATAAAATTTGTGTAAAATTTCCAGTTACCCATAAAATCTTGATAAAAGGTAAAGTTCCTAACAGATGAGAACAAACATTCCTCATTCTGCTAATAATTTGAAAGAAGAAATTGACATGCAACAAGCAAGCAATACTCTTCCCCTTGGATAGATTATTCAGAATTGCAGAATTCGTATGACTCCCCTGCCTAGAGGATTTTTGTGATCAGTTACCTAGTTTGCAGGAGTCAAGTGAAGAGTCTCTATGGTCCTAGTTTGAATCAACTCTAAAATGAGACTGGTCATTTCAAATTACCGCCTGAAAGGCTGGGATTCTGTGTGCGTGTGACTGAAGAGGGGAGGCGCTGACACATTTTCCCTCCTCCCCGGGTGCCATTCAGCTCCTAGCTGTGGACGCCGCAGCTCCCACGTGGCAAGTCCAGATTGAGTCGCAGACGCGACCGGGGATCCTGGTGGCTGTGGCCCTTCCTCCCAGCATCCCAGCGTCGGCTCGGTCCTCCACCGCCAGGGGGCGTGCGCGGTTCCGTGGCCGCCGAGCCCCTTGGCCGCGGCGGGAAGCGTGGGAGGAGGCCTGGGACTAGCAGGCTTCCTCCTCGGAGCGGGCGAGCGCGAGGCGAAGCCGGAGGAAGCCGAGGCGCGATCGGCGCTATCGGCGCGCTCGGGAGGCGGCGGCGGCGGCGGTGGTGGTGGCGGCACCTCCCGTCGGCCTCCGACAGGACTGAAGGCGCGACCGCAGACGGGTGAGGCTCGAGCAGGCGGCGGGGCTGGGCGCGGCTGGGCGCGTGGAGGCAGGAGCGGAGCACCAAGCCGGCTGCCTCGCAGCCCGATGCGGGTCTGGGTTGCTGCGGCGCCCGGCCGTGCGGAGCATCGCGGCCCGCTCAGAGGCGTCTGCACCCGGCGTTGGGTCGCGGCCGCCACCGGGCTCGGGCTGCCCCTGGAAGCCCGTGTTTGCCCCTCCTGGTCGGTATCCTGCAGGTTGAGTGTTGCCGAACAACTGGATGGGATGGACGGTCATGTGGATTCGAACTCTGTGCTGGACCGCCTTGACTCACTCGTAAAGTTTGCATCTCTGCCCAGCTGGCGTTGCTTTCTCCTTTTGCAAGTGAACACATAGGTGTTCTATGCTTTTGATGAGCGCTGTTCATTTTATTTTTATTTCTGCTGTATTCACAGCTGTAGTATGCATGATGGTCAGCGTTCTTATACTTAATAATGAGTGACAGATGGACGATTTGAGACCGATCCATCCAGCTGTAGCTCGCGGGAAGTCGTCAGCTTCAATTTACATAATTAATCCCTATAATATCTATCTGATAGATATTTGAACTACTATCTGATAGAACTTTTACCTTGTTTTTTATAGGCAGAAATCCATGCATACAAAATCTCTAATTTGCATCTTTACCGTCTTAGAGTTACTCAGTATTTCCTAGCGCATATTAAGTTTTTACAACTCCTCACACAGGTCAGATTTTACAGATTAGAATACAAATTTCCTGAGGTAGGAAGTAAAGTTGAATGATAATGGCGGATCCCCACGGCCTGTGCATTCCGGAAAGGACCGGTGACAGACTTAAATTTTCCAAGTCTTTGAAAACATTATTTTTTATACAGTGCTTTAGGGAGCACAGAGAAATCTCCATTAATGAAGAAGTAAAGTTAATAACGTCCCTGATGCCACTAACCAGGAAAGTGGCAGAAAAGGTAAGTTAGCATCCCTCGCCCTGCTGTCCTTCACCCCATTTCTGGAGGTTGCTCATCCGGTGATTTCTCCAGCAGTTTACTAGGTTTTTAGTTTTATGTAAGAGTTAGTTAGGTTTGTTTCATAGATTCTTAAAACATATACTCTACTTATTATAACAACCAGCTGATGACTTCCGGCAAGTTACAGCTAGACGCATCAAACTTGAATTGTCTATCTGTCTTCACTCGTTACTTAGGTATAAGAGCATCATGCTTACTACAGCAGGAAAAAAAATTCTTCTTTGTAGGAAGAAGTAATCACTTAAAGGGCAAGATAGAGTTCCTCTAGCCAGTGACATTCTGTGTCCCTATGGCTGTGGAGATGGGGCGGCACAGAATGATGGGATTATGTAGACCAGAGAGGCAGGCACAGACTTTCAATGGCACATTCTCTGTTTTGGTCCCTCCCTTGGTAAGGCTGTTGAGCATCTTGTGTGATAGTTCAGTGGCTGCATGAGCATCCTTAGCAGAGAGTTCTGTTGATTTTCCTCACAGCTCTTTCAGGCTTACTAAGGCAGATCCGTGGGATCAGCTGTGTAAACTAATGGCACCATGCATTACCTGCAATTAGTGGGCTTGGGATGAGTTTTGAAGGGCATTGGTTAGGATCAAAATAGAAGCTTGTAAAATTGTTTTAGCTGATAAAATTTTACCTATGTGGCTTCTATTCTGTGCCCATGGCTGCTGACCTGCCTTTCTGTTTGGGCAGATAGACCCACCCTGTTCAAGCACTTTTTCTCAGGGGTGCTTTGGCCGCTGAATTCTGTGAACCTTGGTGTACTTCAGTTTTACATTTGACCTAGGTATGAATGAAGGGCAGGGGAATCCTGAAACATGAGATTAAGAAGCTGTTAATCCCTGTCAAGTGTAATGTGAAGTAGTTACAGGAAATGAAGATCCCACCACGCTGGGAGGAAATTTATGCCCTCTCGTTCTTCCTTGTTTTCTTTCTTAGAAACAAAAATAAAACAAAACTCCAACAGAGTGTAAGCTGGTATATGGATGCCCCATTTTGTTCCTCCTATAGGTCAAACTTATTTTTCTATTTTTGTTATCTTTTCTCAAAAGAAATTTATTTTTATCTTTCTTTTCATATTTAGGGGTGGGGTCAAGGCCCTGGCTATGGCGCACTGTGGAGATCGGGGACCACTGGTAGGAGTTGCTTTTCTTTCTGGGCCTTGAAGTCAGGTTGTCAGACTTGTCAGCACACTTACCCTTTGTCATTTTCCTTGATAATATTTGTCTGCCCGTCCATCTTTCTCCTAATAGGATAGGATTAAGGTATTTAAGCAGCTGTAGAATTCTAAAGGACCAAGCAAAACTAAATGCTATTTCGTAGGTCTCTGTACTGGGTTCCAGAACTCTAATGACCATTTCAGTTTGTCAAGTGACTATTGGATTTCTAAACAAAATGCTGCTCTGTGGTGGAAAAGATCTGTAAGAAAACGAGGAGACAGTTTGAGCTAGAGTCTGTTCTAAGCATGACAAACAAGAGTTCTTTCTTCTTTTCCTCACCCCAGTCTCCAGATTTCCTGCCTGCCCCTCCCTCTGCCACCTGGCAGACCCAGTCCAGGGACTGCCAGACCCATTTCCATTCAGAAAATAATGAAAATTCCTGTCCTAGGAGTTGGACTTTGGGGTTTGATTTTGTGTTAGATCTGCCTTGGCTTTCATTTTTTATTTTTTTTTCCCCTTCTTAACTTTTTCTGTGTGCTGTAATCCTGAAGCCCTCAGCTCTAAGCCTTAGAGACCTAAATCACCCAAAAAGAGCTTGTTAAACATGCAGGGTTTTAATGCCTACTCTGAGGAGTCTGATCCTGCAGGTCAGCAGTAGCAGACACATTTGCTTGTTAAAGGCACACTAGTGATTCTGACCTCCCTGGTGTGGGTAACACTTTATTGAGGCCTTCAAAGAACTTGATAGGATGTATTTTACTAAAAACAAGCAAACAAACAAACAAAACAAAACAAAACCAACCAACCAACCACACAAACAAACAAACCAAACGTGTTTGGAAGCCTCTGTATTTAGACTGTTAATGGAAATAGCAGTGCATTTCTTAAAATTAACAATATACCTATTTAGGTGTCTTAAGGTTTTAGGGCTTCTCTTGTAATGTTATTGTATGCTGTTGTGAGGGTTAGGATGTAATATAAAAATCAGTTATATCGAAGGCTGGGAGATTACTCAGTCTGCTTGCCAGAGGATCTCTGGGGCTCTCTGCTTGGTCAGTCTAGCCTAATGAGTAATCTCCAGTTTCAATGAGAGACCATCTAGGGAGTAATCGAAGAAGACACCTGACAATGATGTCTGGTTTCATACACACACACACACACACACACACACACACCTGCCAACATATGCACACACCCACACAGACATGTACACACACAAACACCATACACAGACACACACACAGAATAAATTTCTTCGATGTTCAACCATGTAAACTCTTTATAAGAGTTTATGAAAGGTGGACTTATCTGACGTCTGTTTGTCATGAAGATTGTCCTGGTGGCTGAGCTTTAAAGTTTGCCTCAGAGATCTCTTCAGGTGTCATGCAGTCTACTCCATTTCTATTTATTTATGCATTAGTGGCTTCATAGAAAGTCTTGGAGGTCACTGAAATATTTACTTCAGGCAGGGTTGAAGTAGGTGTGGCAGTTCCATTTGACCTCTAGCTTTTTATCAGTTCTTTTCAGTTAGTTGGTACCCTTCATTTACTCCTGTTTATTGACAATATGCCGACACACACACACACACACACACACACACACACGACATTCCCTCCTGGGTGGAATGGTTTTGAGATGTGATGGTAATAAGGTTAACAGCACTCTGATAAAAGAGACCTGAACTCTGGCTGTGAGTTCAAAAAAATGGAAAGCTCAGATGGCCTTCAGGACCCTGATGGAGGGTCTGCAGGTTAGAGTCCATCTTTCTGTGCTAGCGAGAAGTCGGTGGAGAATAGCCCAGCTGGTGAATGAGCATCCTTTAGAGGGAAAAATTTGCTTAGTTATATTGTTAGGTTGAAGGGCACACACAAGGCTGTTTTCTTTTGAATCCCTTAAGTGTTTTGTTGGAAAACATTGTCAAGTGCATGCGGATCACCTGGCATATTTCAGTAATCGGCTAGCTCAGGTGCCTGGAGAGGAAAGGAAGAACTCTAGGTGTCTCTGTGGATTCTGCACTCTCCAGAGTTCTACTAGGAAGCTGCCAACACTGAGCTGTCTGTTGCAACACTGCTCTCACTCAATGTCTGTCAAGCTTCAGCACCTGTTGTTGCATTAAAGTCTTTGGGGGCAAATTTGGCCTTGGCTGGACACCTTCCCTAACCTGTGTTGAAGTAGAGACCTTGGGTATTAGAGCTGCGTTTGCCATTGTAGGAGAAGGGAGCTTTATTCAGGTTGTGGGAGATCAGATAACAGGTTTCTGAATTCTTCCTGGTTGCCAGCAAGGAAGAGCGATTTTGAAGTAAGGTAGAAGGACAGTTAATGAATGGCAGGCTTTGGAGGACACTGAAGTCTCACCAGTGCTGTCTTGTTTTGCCTCATCTCCTACATTTCTTGGGTAACAGTCTGGGGGAAGTAAGGAGCACCCTGGACTTGTTTCCACTTACCCACATTTAGATGTTAATACTCTTTTAAATCAATTTGCATTTTGTACTGCTGAAGACAAAAGAAGAAAAGTCATAAGATGCTGATTTAGATAACTGAAAAATTCAGAGATGGGGCATGGTGGCACATGCTACAGCATTCTGGAGGGGAGAAACTGAGGTGTCAGGAGCTAGCAGCTGAAATTCTGACTCAGACAAACAAACCAAAGCAGCCAGGAGTAGGTCATCTTTATTTTTTTATTTTTTATTTTTTTGTTTGGTTTTTCGAGACAGGGGGTTTTTCTGTGTAGCCCTGGCTGTCCTAGAACTCACTCTGTAGACCAGGCTAGCCTTGAACTCTCGAACTCAGAAATCCGCCTTCCTCTGCCTCCCAAGTGCTG